CGAGGGGAAGCTGTCGAGAAATGCAGTAAGCGCATAGCGCGCCAGAGGCAGAACTGCTACGACATTGAGGGGCCTCCGGAGATGTGTAGGAGAAAGAATCGCAGCACAGGAGGCGCGTGGCGTCGCTCATTGTTTCCGTCTTGTCGTGCATTTTTCTCAACAAGAAAACGCCGGTGACTTTTTGGACAAATCGAGTGGCCATTCATTTCACCCTTCTCAAGATTAACGAATCGGGGTCCCCTGGCGATATCGACCATGAAGTACTACGACGCACGGGCACACGGCATAGAGACCGTGCTCGCTTCCTTGGTGCCGATATTGCTATCGTTTTCCTTTTCACTCGAAACACAGCGTAGGGACGGGGGTCATCATCACTCACCAGACCACCCAAGGCACAACGTTAGCTTCAGTGCCCCCCTCCGAAACCAAACGTCGACCCCCCCCAACAAAAAAAAAAAACAGTACGATTATATGTTAAAAACGACTCCAAATGAGCCCAGTTTCTAGCCGTTTTTTTTCTACTCACTGCAAAGTCAACACAACACCTTCGACCTCCGTGATACTATCTCGAACGGGATGAAGAATTTCTGTGACATGTTTCTTCAAAAAATTGCGTCCCTTCACACACAAGAGTTTAAGTAGATGCAAGGCATTCCACCCGCGCGCGCTTATACCTCGACGTATCCTTGACCACCGCCTCTATTCCGCCGCCGTCTTTCCTCCTGAGAGACAAGCAGCAATGCCCGCTGCTGATGTAGCCGAGGTCGATCGTCGTCTGGGTGGCGCCCCCAATTGGCGACTTCTTCCCGCGACCGATGTAGGTGATCTGCGGAAACGGCACAGACAAAGGAAACGCGCCAGCGAGACTTGAATAAATGTATCTACCGCAATAAAATATGTTTTCTGTGGGGACGGCGACGGGGGGGAAACACACGCGCCAGAGGTACTTGAATAAACTTATCGACTGATCAAGGCGTTCTGTTGAAACGGCGGCGGGGGGAAACACAGGCACCTTCGTGGAGTGACAGAGGCACACACGCACGACGTGTTTGGAACCTTTGCGCATTACCATGGACATTATCATGCACATTATCATGCACACTATTATGGGCACTATCGTGGACATTACCATGGACAGACGGACCGACAAGGACATCCACGCCGACACCGCAACAACACGGCGAGGCCAACGCGGCCGGCACCGACAGCGACTAGGAAGAAACACCGCCTACAGCACTATGCGTACAGAGCAGGGGGGGTCCCCGAATAATGCGATCTGGAGAATAAGGGGGTCGCCCTACATAAGGCGGGCGATCTTGAATAGCATAGACGGAATAATCGAGTTGTCCTACACACAACGAAGAAGGCGAGGGCCCCACATATAACGCGGTCATTTCATCATCTGCCCCGCCGCCGCATTATTGGGGTACCCCCACTGTACGGCGGGACCGTTGCCGACCCCGGTGGAACAGCAATGAGCTGATGAATGTCCAGGCTTATTATTATCGCTTAACCATTTCACGGAAAATTTAACGCTTTTTTTCACGGAACGGTGAAAATAAGACCCGACGTTTTGCGCTTGCTCTAATCGTGATGTCATCGCAAAAACCCGTTTCCTGCAGGTGAACACACGCTTTGCTCGACATACAACAGGTTGACTTGGTTTTGCTCACCATAGAGCAGCGTTCAAAAAATCACAACGAGGAGCACCCGACACAAAGGGCAGCATGCTTGTAAAGACCCCGTCCACCCGGCTTGCTGTTTTCAGCTACAGGCCCAGGGAAGAGTGTCGCAACGCGGGTGTTGGTTGGCGGCTGCTTTTTCATCGTTGCGACCCCCTGATTTGACCACGACCTGTCGAAAGGTAGACGAGCTCAACAATCATAAAAAAGCGGCAGCGGCGCTGACGGCCACCATCACATACATGACCAATCCGAAAGAATGGTAGCGTGTCGGAGGCCCTGTTGCTCTAGTACTGCGCGGTGCCGTGGATTTTGAGTTGCCGCCTCTCCGACCAAAAACAGGCCATCTCACCGCATTTTTTCAAGCGGCAAGTTGGCAAGGTGACACCCCTCTCTCACACACCTTGTTGAGCGGCACACGAGCCCCCAATACCCGCGAAGCAGCACAGCGCCGGGAGTGAGAATCATATAGACAGAGCCGGACCGAAGGAATCAGCGCGTTGGAGGCCTTGCCGCTGCTGCCTGTACTTGTTCTACTGTTTCCGTGTGTGTCACGTGCGGTTGAAAAAAAAAAAACGACCATCAACAGCAGCGGTTGAACTCGGGGGCATCACGCAGTGTCTTGGTGTGGACAAACAACGTGCTGAACCCAGCTTCTGTCGCTGGTCTATCATACCAATAGGCCTGGACGTGAGTCTGGCACCTCTTGCTAGCGTTCTCAGTGGTGTTACAGCGCCCGCGGTGCGCCTGTCCGATGCTTGTGTCAAAAACCCGGAATCAGGAAAAGAGCAAGCCCCAAAAAATCCCGCCTCGCTCCTTTCACGAATTTGGAGAAAAACGCCTCTATATATCCCTCAAGAACCACAACCGCCGAAGGCCGACGGCTGCCACAGGCATCGCCGGTGCCCGCGAGCGCATGACTCGGTTCATTGACACCCTTCTGGACCGCCAGTTAGCTGAGGAAGATTTTGTAGTACCTCTCAAAACAGTGCTTTCGTGACGTAGCAACAGGTGAGTTTTGGAATCGCGCGCGGGAGTATCGCTCGTCGTCCCTACTGGTTGGACCTGTGCCCCCTGTCCGCTGTCTGCTCATCTTGCACTCTCCCCGTCCCCCTTCCCACGAATAACACGAACAACCGAGATCAGCAACGACGTGATCGTCATGAGGGAAAAGCCCGACCTGAGCTTGAGTCCCTTCAAGCGCAGGCCGGGCTAGTCAGACATGACGAGAATGTTGTCGATAACCTCGCCCATCAGCGCTAGTGACAGAAGGGGGGAGGGGGAGAGCGCAAGGCGAGCCGGCAGCGGACAGGCGACACACATCTACCAAGTATCCACGAAGAGCGACTCAACACAACCCGCGCGCGATCCCAAAATTCCCGTTGGTATGTGACGAAAACATTGCTGTTTTGGGAGGTACCGCAGTAGTGAAAGCTTAAACTTTCCTCGGCTAACTGGCGGTCCAACTGGGTGCTAATGAGCCGCGACATTCATTCAAGGGTACCGGCAACGCCTGCGGCGGCGGTGGCCTTAGGTGGTATTGGTTCTTGGAGCATTCGGCAGGTTGTTTCTGTTCCCTGTTGGGTCGCCCACGTTTGTCAAGGTCTCGCCGCACGTGCTTGCCGACCGTGACGTTAGATATCCTACCCTCTAGACCGATTTCGAAGGCTTCCTAACAATGCGCAAGAAAGTATGGTGGTGCCGAAACTGGCGGTATCGGATGCTTCTCGCCGAGAGCTTTCCACCGCCCCACTCCACTTCCACATCAAACCCAGGGCCGTCTTCCGACATCGACATGTGTGCACGATCACCGCCATCTCGAAGTCCCCATGAGTGAAAGCATGCTGAAAAACTTCCTTCAACTCGGCCGTGATCTCGAGAGCGACACGAAAACCAATGGTTTGGTTTGTCCATCTTCGACTTGGAGCAATCGAGCTCTAAAATTCGGTCCCGGGGGTGTGATATCTTCTGTCGGTCCACTGTAAGCGGTCTTTCTACAATGTCCGTCGGCGGCTGCGCTGGCCTCGTCGCCACAACTCTTATGTTCTTCCACCTAGACAAACGGGCGCTTCGCCACAGGTTCTATTTGCTGCTCCTGACGGCCAGCGTTGTTTAAGGGATATAGACAGCAGTCGTTGGAGAGGTATACGGAACTCTCTACTGTTGCCATGAGGAATGTGTCCCCACAATGAGCGGCGGCGAAGGAAGTGGGACCAGGGAGAGAGAGAGAGAGGTTGAAGGAAGAAAGGGGGTGAGGCGAGAGAGGCCAGGGCGGACAGCAATCGACCATACAAGTCATGGAGGCTCCTTCTCTCGAGACAGCAAAGAGAGAGCAGACTTCGATGAGTTTGGTCGGAGAGGTGTATCCCTCTGACGTTGGACGTTATGGACGGACAAAGTAGAGGTGTGTAGTTTCATTGGACTCAAGTCCAAGCCCCGCACATCTTCCATACAACGAAAGCGAGCTAAAGACAGGTATCTTGGTCATGTGACACACGCCATGATTCCATTTACACAATCCTGGACTTTCATCTACAGCAGTGTAGCACTGCTGTATGCCGACCATGCACCCGGTGTACTTGTATCGTCGGCACGAAGTAAAAAAATTAAGGTGAAAGTCGTCCCTGGGCCCTGGGTGGACAAAAATGCTGCAACGTTGAATTTGAAAAGTACAACCAGGTGCGAGCAGCACAACTGACCGGATGAGATGAGAAACATGAGTACGATCTCAGCAGCTCATCAGCGCACTTTCACCGCTGGGTTCGCCCCGCGCCCAGCGGTGGTTCTGTCAAACTTCAAACACCGAAATTCAAAAAAACAACTGGTGTTTGGCCGCGTAGGGAACGAGAGCGAGATTGCTGTTGCTCGCTACAGCAGCCAAGCAACAGTGCTCAGAGCTGGGAACATCTAGGCTATTCTCATCAAGAGCCTCCAACTTGTGGTATGCACTAGGTGCAACGAGTCATGACAAGAGGTGTAGACCAGGCGGGCAACAACCTCCTCTATGTTTGCTGTTTACATGCAGTCTAATTTCAACATGTGCGAATTCGCTCTTGCCATCCTGTCTCTTTCGGAGCGGACAAAACCGCAATCTGTTTCTATCAACGCCAACGCAGCACCACCACCATCAGCAGCGAGGCAAACCTCACCTTCCCTTGAAGGTTGATGGTCCGAGGCACCTTGTCGCAGACAGGCCCCTTAAAGCCTTGGGTCACGGGCTTGGTGGGATTCTCGACCAATATCAGCTTTCCCCATTTCGTCCCCCTGCCTTGCTTCCCGGGCGACATGTGCTCCAAATACTCTAAAAAAATGGTCAAAAGATTTGGCAGCTCGCGAAATTCGCAGCCGTATGGCCTTGCAGCTGCGCCTGACAGCCCGCTGTTACGGTAGGGGAGCTCCCGCTTGCTGCTGTGTGCTGCTGACAACTGCTGGTATGGAGGGCACACGCGGATTCAAATCTTTGCGCTGCCGAGATATGAACGGGGTGACGCGAAATCATGTTTATTTGTTGATTCCGCCGCAATGTGCGATATGGCGTAACCGTCCCGCAGATCTTCGACAGAGTTCGCAATCGATCGACAGCACAGGTGCGGCAAGACTTGCCACGTTCAAAATTGCCCACGATCTTCAAACGAAACATTACATACGCACGAAGGGCGGCCCTTTTGCGCCTCTCGGCTACATAAGGGATCGCAAAATATTGCTGTATCTTCGTTGCCGTCGTGGCAGGATTTGCACTATTAGTGTTCTCTCGTGGCTCTCTCTGTTCTCTCAAAAACACGCCGGACTAGAGGGGACCGAGGAGCATGCCAACATGCCCCTTGCGTTCAAGTTCAGTGCGGTAGCATCCCTGAATGCCGCCCTCCAGCTGCTTGTGCTCCTTCGGTGTACTTCTATCACGGTCGTAGACGCGTTCGTGGCACTCCATCCGAGCGCTGCCGTCTCGGAAATCGTGTGGAGCCGTCATCGTACGGATACCCTGCGGACGTCGGCCACACCTCCTCCCTTGAGTCCAAGACCGTCAAGATCCCACATGACTTCACTCCCAAAGAGGATTAGACCAGTCCCTTTGCCTGAAGCTGTTCCTGCCACCCCAGTGCCTAGGACGCGATGCCACGCCATGCATGGCAACAACTACGCCGCTCACGATGATGACCGTGCAGGTGGCAGGGCTGATATACACAACCTTGACGCGCCAGGTCAGCAGGAACGGCACCACTTTGGGGGCGCACCGGCAGGGATTGGTGACGATGTTGCTGCCAGCAGGGATATTTTTGGAGAACAAGGAGGAGGGTTCGGGTGGCTCAGAGAGTTTGGAAACGGAAAGACGGACATCGCCGGGCTGGTTCTTTCGACGGTGCTCCTGATGACGGCGGTGGGGGCACCACTAGGGTAAGCAAAACACTCGAAATGTGGGGTATTCCACGAGGGTCAGATTCGCAGATCGTTGCTCTGCAGTACATCTACTGTAGACGGGAAATCTCCGAGCATGTTGCATCACTTGCTGTCGCTTTGTTGGAGAAACCACAGCGAAGTCGAACCGAATACATCCACCAGGACAGCAATCTTGACTACCTTTTCCAGAGGTTATGTGTAACGAAAACTACAGTATACTTCTATTCCATGCGATGATGGTACTACTGTATAGGTCTACAGTAGATCGCTCATGCTTCCCTGTCACCCCCGGGCGAACAGCCACTCACTCATAAGTCAAGGGCAAATGGTTTGTAAGAACCGGAAGGCCAAAATCTGAGGAAACTTGTGGAGCACCGAGGACGAACAGCTGTGGCGTCATCGGGCTCACGATGCTCTCGGGATAGAGGAACCCCTCAAGTTTTTATCTATAGCCGCGGGTGACACCTTGAGGTGCTTATGCTCTCCAGCAAATACCATTTTCAGGCGCACCATGCTTCATATCCACAGAAAAAAAAGTCCTGCGATGCAGCCCATTTTCCGTCCACCACTAGCACGGTGTCATCGGTGCGCCCCTGATTCTGGCAACTTCCCCTCTCCACCCGATCGGCACTTTCAGGGCCGCCGCGGACCTGGGAGTCGTGGACGGCCGTGTGCTCGACCCGTCCTCGCTCAGTCATGGACCGACCGCCGTGCGCTTGAACGTTGAGAACGCGGTGCCAGTGCCCACAGCGGAGAAGGCAAGAGCTAATCGTGTCGGCGCCTTGAACCTCGGGGGTCTGCCGCCGAGACGCCCGCCGGTGACTCGCGTTGCTGGTGTCGAAAGCGAGGTCGGGGCAGTCGGCGAGGTGAGTCGGGTTGACGTTCACCAATGCCCCGCGATTCGCCTGATGCGTCGAGGCAGAGAGCATGTGCGCCAACAAGTAATCGTCCAAAAAGAACATCCTCTTTTTTCGTCACGTCGGAATGAGTGTGGAGAGAGACTTGCTGCTGGTTTGCGCGTCACCCATCGCAAGCGTAGACACCCCGATCCTCAACGAAACTCGCAGGCGTCGACACGGAGAACGGGGCCTCTGGCGAAGATGGCGGGAGATTCGATGTCGGCGGTGCGCGACATCGCGCACAGGGCGGGAGCGATCGCGGCCTCGCGAGGGCCCGGAAGGGAAAGGTACAGTCATTCATAACACCCAACATTCTGCATTTTATTATCTAGAGTGCAGGAGGTTGGGAAGTTCGAGTCGTAAGCCGCAGAAAAAATAGGGCCAGGCGGTTTGTAGTAAAGCCCACGCGATTCGCACGTGTACTTATGTGCTCCGCGTGCCCCAAGCATTGAAGTACAATGTTTTGAGAGATACATGCACCGCATATCGTGTACAACCACATCATTCTGGATCGAGTTTTGAACCTTGATTTTGCCGCAGGAGGAAAAGGTGTGCAAGTCGAATGGACGGCGCAGAATGGTCAAACAGAGCATTACAGAAGCCATCTTGCGCTTTGTCTAATCCGTCCGTTATCGAGATCGAGATCCCGAGCTTCGATTGTCGACCCCTAGTATTCATAGTCGTGCATGCTGTAGTCGTTAGACCGTTGACCTCGCATCCCTACAAAGCCGGGACGGAGCACGCCGGGTTCGCACCGGACCAGGCTCTCACATCACCAAGCGCGAAGCGCCGTGAGGTATTCGGCGAGTCGCATGAAGGGTGCGGTGCATCCTGCTAAGTGTGTTCGGCATCTTGTGCTTACTTCCTTGCGTACGGATGACAGCTGCGTATGACTTAATTTATTTTCTGGTGCTTTCACTTCTAGAGACAATTGTAAGCACTGTGTAACTGCCTCTATGGTGCTTGACTATTATAACACAACGTGGAGCGATCATCCCCTTTGTGCGGAGTGAGGGTTCTCGACCCCGCACAACATAATCTACTCGACCACCATTCATGGTTACCGCAAAAAAAAAAATGCACAAAATAAGCGGTAACCTGGTTGCCGAGCTCACGCGGTGATCGGCTTGTTTTACAACATCGCTGCCAAGCGATGAAAACCCAACCCCGATGGCAAACACCGGGGGGGGCGGCTTGTTTTACAACGTCGTTGCCAAGCGACGAAAACCCAACCCCGATGGCAAACACCCGGGGGGGGATTGTCGACCCCTAGGGGGGTGACATTTCACGCGTAGCAAACGGCATGAAACAGTTCTTGTTACAGACAAGCACAACATCATGGTCAACCATTAACAGCCACCCACTGCAGTTGTGGCAACCACGAAGAAGCAGCAGCAGCAGCAGTAGCATCAGCAAACACCTGCCCCAATCATGCCTGCCGGACATCGGCCGTAACTTGCAGTGCCCCCGGTGCTCCCGGGCCCCTCCGTACGGCGAAACCAGACGTCCATAAAGAACCACCCCCCGAAAAGACGGAAGACTCGGGATCTGTCGTAGGCGATGACCATCCTCACACGTCTCTTCAGAGAGGGGTTCCCTCCGCCGGAAGGTCGACAACCGTCAATGCCGTCCGGTCCGGGGGGCAAGTCGAGGACGGAACTGGGGCGGCTGCTAAGGCTGCTCGTTCGGACCAACTTGAGGAGCTGGAAGTGAGTCCCATGTCCTTTTTTCGTTTGTCACAAACCGAGTTGCAGTTTGCACCGGCTGCAAACTTGTCACCTTACACCCCATAGTGGCACCAATTGCAGATTGCCGCGGCTGCAAAATTTTCGCCAGTAGCTCATTTGTGTCACGACTTGTGGCGGTCTGTTCTTGTATATCTTTCATGATTCTGTGAATGTTGAATCGAAGCAGTGCAAAGAAAGGTCAACCGTCGAGGCTTTACGACAGACATTTTCAGGGGAGTGTTGTCTGTGGCTGCCCATGTAAGGGAAGCCGATAGCTCGGGGAAGCCACAAGAATAGTCGGAGCCCATCACCTACATGAACAAACGCGTGCGCTTCCTCTTCGCCCTCGGTACATCTTGAACTAGTCCGAACCTCAACCAGCCCCGCCCCCTTCGCCCCCCCCCCTCCCGTGTGTGGGTCTGCCAGGAACTTCCCGAACTGACCCTTTCAACCCGTGTCACACCCGTTTCTTCGCTTCTCGAGAAAGGATACGATAGCACATATTTTCCATGTCGCTAGTGCCACATACTCCGGAGCTCCCAATGAGCACACTTTCTAACCCCGCGGCGCGCGCATGGTTCGACCAACAGAACGAGCACACCAAGCTGTTCGGAGATTCCCTGCCGCTATCCACCTTGCCCGACAGCTTCAATCGCGCCATCAGGAGAGCACTCCCGTCCGTGCTCCCGCCGGCGATGGCCGTGTTCCTCACGGTGTCCATGCCGGCCGTGATACTGCTGCTGAAAGGAGTAGGTAGGTGCGGGCGATAGTGTGTGCTCTGTAAAGGCAGCGGTTGCTGGCTGACCGGGCCGCGTTCAATTTTCCTAGTTCACGAGGCACACCCCTCGCCCTTCGAGTTTTTTTGGCGCGTGGCTATCGGTGTGCCTACAAAATCAACCGCACTAGTCTACAGTAATCTCCATCATGGCCGATTAATGTCCGCCACCGCTTCTTTTTGGACAAGGGTGTAGTAGATGGAACAGCAGTGACGGCGCGCCGCATGAACGCTTGCCACACGCTGGATCGACATGTCTCGTTTTGTTTCGGAAGCTTTTGACGGTCGCCTTGAAGACCAAGAACCCATCTTGGCACTGCTTTGTACCAACACGTTGGAGGCAGAGGTTCAACCCAATGCACATGTTTTTTTGGAAAAACGCCTCAGGCACTACGCTGGTGGCTGTCGCGAAAGGATACGGGAAGGCAGACCGGCGGCGCTCAGACGACGGGCACGACGTTGGTTCCGCTCTGGAGGTAACTAGCCAAAGATCCGGCTTACAACAATTGCGCATGTGTGTGCTTGGTACCCGATGGATCTTGGGCAAGTTGTCCAAGTAAGTACCCTTGGCAACAACATGGTCTTCCTCGAAAACTCGATCTATGGCCTGTGTGGAGACCACCTTCATAAAGAAGGGTACAATCTCCCCAACGCCTGTCGAGGACGATTCCCTCTTTTCACACCTGGTCATATTTAAATACCCGGTGCCGAGCACGTGGACCGCCAGCTGGCTGGGAAATTCAACGATTGTGTTTTTTTAAATCTCGCTCGGGTAGCGACTCACCGCTTGCCTTCCAAGCGCTAAGTTTGCCGACGTTCGCGTAACGTCATCCTCACGACATGACAGCAGTATCAACCACGATGTATCGATCATGATTGATTTTGTCAGGTCGGCTTCGGCGGTGGTGGCGGTGTTTTTGGTGGTAGTGTTGGCGGCGAAGGAAAACGCCGTGAACGCGGACCGGAAACCCCTGGTTCGGCCTTCCAAATGTTTCTCGGAGGGAATGGCGGCAGTGGTGGCGTTGATGCGGGCGGAAGCGGACACGGTGGTGATGTAGATACCAGGGCGGGCGGTCCTATGGGGGACAGCTCCGGGGGAGTCGCGCCGTTCGCGCCTCCTTTGACGGTGAGGGGACTTGCGGTGTTTTGCTACGGTCATGTCGAGGAGGCTTGCACGGCTGTCGCCGTACAAACTTGTGGTGGCGTATGTGCCTTCGCCAAACAACTGAAAAAAAAAACACGTTGAGGTTTGATTTTCGTGTCGCGGAAAAGCTTAAAAAGCACATGCCCTCCGTGTTCTTCAGCGTAATACCCCCATTCAGGGTAGGGGTGCGAATTCTTGTCGTGTTTTTCGAGCAGGCATCGCCAGAACCTCTTAAGGTCGACTCGACTGCAAGGGTATTGCTTGGAGACCGCTTGCCCAACTCTATGAACAGCTTTGGAAACGATTTCACTGGCACCCCGTTACTCCTTCGAATCAAAACCAAGAGTGCCCTCCAGTTCAACGTTGTCCAAATATACCTTTCGGGAAATTCCATCCCGACGAAATTTAATCTCAAATATCGCGGTGCGAAACGGATTTTCTCTCTCAGTGAAGCGTGTTGTAGCAACCTGATTTTCACCAGTATCTTGACCAACACACCCGGTGATGCGCGAGCACCTCTAGGTGCAGCAGGTGAGCACGGAGAGACAGGGGTTCTTCTCCAAGCCGAGGCAGCAGCACCCGCAGTTAAAAGACACCGGTGGTGGGTTCGCGGTGGGAGACGACGCGATGGCAGCAATGGCGATGGCGGCAATGACTCAGGAACTGACAGTCATGAAGCACTCACTACAAAAAGAGGTGAGATTGTTGTCGTTTGTTCGAAGACTGCCGGTTTTTCGACTGCCGGCTTCATCACATCATTGTCGGTGGGGTCGTGCAATTGTCAGAGGTTTGGGACAACCCTGATGTAGGCAGAATGCAGCAGGAGCTGGCCTTGCACAAAATGGGGGAGGTAAAAGGGAAATCGGGACCCCCCCAGGTGTCCTTTCGATTCGGTGTTTTCCTCCTTTTCGCTTCAAACGAAACTTGTCTGAGAACTGTGGGTTTATGGTCTTTTTCCCGCTTCGAACATTATGTCCCTGTCCTCTTGCTCGCGGTGTCACAAGTGGTCCGACGCTGAAAGTTATTACGAAGGGAAGAGTGCGCACGACACATGGAAGGAGCCGTACTTCGAGGAGGTAGATAGGCGGGTGGTTTTTCGGTGCTCGCGCCGTGTAGGCCATCTGGTGCGATCGAAACCAATCGCTGAAGCCATAGTCTTGCGTACATGCAGTATGTTGTCATCTGGCCTTTATTATGATTGTTGTGCTGGCGACGAGAGGCGCCAGTTTTAACTTCTCTCGGGAAGCAAGTGTCGGCAACATTCAAGATGCGTCGACCTCAAAGGAGACCGAAGTAGACTACTTGCTTTGAGAATCCCCACATTTTCTCGACGGCCAATGAAAAACAAACCGGCTTGAGTTGACCTTCGCCCCGATCCTGACCCTGCTGGAGCTGGAAAAAGTAACGGCTCTTTCCTTCTAGAGGGTGAAAAGTGTTTTCGTTGGGCGAAAGCCCCGAGCTCACTACTGTAGTGTATGGATAAATGCCAATAATCGAATCGATTGCGTGAAGACCGAGTGAAAAAGACTGCAGATTGAGCGGAATGCCTTAAGGTTTCCAACGATGCCATCTTGCAGGTTGAATCCATGAGAAACGAGCTCGAGCGCGCGAGTGACGACTCGAGGCGCCTCACCGACAAGCTTTGCCGCCTAGAGGAAGACAACCGACGGCTTGAAGCTGTGGTATCACGCTTGGGGGGGCAAGATGCTCGGCGCCTCAAAGCCCAGGTATTGTTACGTATGTAAATTCCGACAGCGGAACCTCTTTGCTTGATCGGCCCGTCGCACAGTATCCTCAGGACATCCCCAACAGCATGCTCCCACGTCCTTCGCGCCTCGGTGAATGGTCGGGAGCCCCGTTCCGGTCGTCTTGCCACAGAAAAAACTTCCCCCACATATTGAAATCCGTATTTGGATTGACGACCACCAGGGAGCTTAGTCTCTCTCACTTCCTTAACCCTGCCTTACCACGCCCCCGCCTTTGCCTGCCGTCTTTCGTTTTGCCCCGCCTCGAACAACAGTTATTTTCGCTGCTAGCTTCGCCTTCGATGGGACAGCTTGGACAAGGCAACCCCTCGACCCAGCTGAGCCCAGCCTGAGAAACTGGAGGACGAGAAATTATTCGTACATTATTACCTGGTTGGCAGTACGTTGTAGTGAGCATGCGGGAGCCTGCATGTTTCAGTCATCCTCGAGAGCACCCTGCTGTATGGTGGAAGTTGGCGCAGCAACTTGTTGTACACTTCAAGGTTCATGTCGATTTAGTGTTCGCATACCAGCCCGTTCTCTGGGTTCGCATATTCTCTCTGTACCCAGGGAACACACTTGCTTGTGGTGCGCGTGGAAGTTACTGTTTGCACTGATTTCAGAACAGGCATCGCGTGTGGTTCATGGAAGTGCCTGCTAAATTTGCGCGATCCTTGGTCGAAGACGAAAGTCCAAGAAAAACGCTAAAAAAGCTGTGCTAATCTCTTTGCCTTGCGGAAGGCCCAAGGAAGGGGAGGGCGAAGGTAGCGAGCAGAAAGAAGCGCGAGCGAGAATTCGTCTAGGAAAGACAGCGACAAAGAAACACGCACCCACACAACTCAGCGAGAAAGCGGCTGGCCCGCAGGCCAAGTCAAGGTCAACGAACACACGACCGGTTGCAACAGTCGCTACGGTGGGGTATTCTTGCTTCGCCGCACTCAAGCTGCGTTCATGCCGCCGCGCGCAGCTGTGGAAGGACGACAAAACCTCGATACACTACACACGTTGCAGAATGGAGGTCGAATCTAAAGCCCTTAAAGCTACTTTGGGGATCGATAGATTCATGGAGAGAAAAACGACGGGTGCAGCCAATAGAGGGAATTCCGCCACCCGAGAACGGAATGCACACGTCGGATAGTCGGGGCTTGGATGGGATGGGAACTTGTTATCACCTTTCACGGAACGCGAGCAATGAAACCACAGTAAAGAGTCCATGGCAAGGCAACAACGCAGCAGCCAACTT